TTGAGTTCCTCAATGTCCAGAAGACCGAAAACTCATGTAGACTGAAAACTCCAATCCTTCACAAAAGTCACTTAGAATCTCGAAAACAGGTAAACCCTACCCAACTCATCAAGTTGGGTAAGGGACTGGACAAGTTCCCTTAGTCCTTTTTGTGTTTAGACATTTTTAAGCTACCCTAATGCTCCAAATTGCAGATCTAGCCTCTTAAGGCATGGTTTCCATGAAAAGTTGCAAACTTTACGTGAATGCAAGCTCTTAAATGCCAAAACCAATCTACGGGATGGGTTTTAGCCAAAGAGGAGGGCCAATGCTTGATAAATTTAGTGACTTTATAACTCTAGGGACTTAGAGGAGTCCAGATCTGAAGTTACAACCTCAAATCATGCCCATCACCTAAAATAATCTACAAATATACTAGAAATGGCCTTAAACCCAAGAAAAAGGGTATCTAATGCTAGAATGATCAAGGTAACAACTTGTCACCTTCAAATGGATGCTCAAACGTTGTAGATGTTGGGTCTACAAGCTCCTTCCCATTCCAAGCTTCTCAACCTTCAAACTTCTTCAACAAAATGCAGCAAAAGCACTCTCTTAGTCTCATAAGCAAAAGGAAACAACAAAGAGCAGCTAAGGGTTCTTCTCTGGGTAATGAAGTGGTACGGGAGGCCACAAGAGGCGGATTAAGTCCTTTATATAAGGTGCAAACCCTAAAAATTATTGTTTTCCTTTATAGAACCTACTCATCGAGTCGGGGCCTTCCGACTCGTCGAGTAGGATCTAAATCATGCGCCCTCATAAATGATCTCTACTCGATGAGTTGGAGCTCCCTAACCCGTCGAGTCCTAGCATATAACCCTAAAACTTGGAAAAATTAGATGATACTTGGAACGGGTGTTACAAATCTCCCCCACTTGAACTAGACTTCGTCCTTGAAGCCTGCTGTCACAAATAAGTCCAAATAGTGATCTCGCATCTCCTCTTCCGACTCCCATGTCTATTCGGAGCCCCTTCGGTGCTAGAATTGCACCTTTACTAGCTTCACTTCCTTGTTCCGAAGAACCTTGGTCTTCCTATCCAAAATCGCAACGGGCCTCTCTATGTAGTTCAAGCTCTCGTCTACCTGAATGTCGTCTAGAGAAATGACCGCGGCCTCGTCGGTGACACACTTCTGAAGCTGAGATACATGGAAGGTATTGTGTATTTGGCTAAGCTCGTCTGACAGATCTAAGCGGTAAGCCACCTTGTCCACTTGAACTGAAATCCTGAACAAGCCAATATATCGCGACCCCAACTTGCCTCTCTTCCGAAACCTGAATTTTTTTAGGTTGAAATGGCAATCTCGTAAGAAATAATAATTTTGATTATGAGATTATAGTAACATTAGTGAGGGGCGAAGTCAAAAAAAAATTTCAGGTTGTTCCACACACACATACACACATACATACCTACATACATACATATATATATATATATATATATAGAGAGAGAGAGAGAAAGAGAGAGAGAGAGAGAGAGAGAGAGAGAGAGAGACAAAACTAATAAAAAGCTTGTCAAATAATATGATGTGGCTGTTAAAAAAATGAAGAATATAAGTTTAACATGAGAAAAAATAGCATATATTTTTTAAGTATCTAAATGATATTTTATTTAACAATAATAAAAACAAAGAAAAACAAGAAAAAAGAAAAATTGAGGATGGGCCTGGGCCTACCCTGATCCTAGGCTGGCTCCGTCCATGACATTAGTAATGAACTAATGATCTTGATAATTAGAAAACAAAATTCTCGTATTGCCATTTTCATGATTTTAATAGTTTTTTATCTTGGACTCTGTGAATCTTTTGACATGTTTTTGATGATTTTATTCATAGTTTATTCGAGAATTTTTTGGGTATTTATTTTAATCAATATTTTAGATGAATTCTTGAGTATTTCTTAGGATTTTTCTTGAAGTGTTAAAAAAGGGGTTCATTTTTCATCCTTTTTCCTTTCTTGAGGTTTAAATGATACATTTAAGATTGTAGCATCATTAGTCAGCACACTTACTATATTGCACTTTTCATGAGTTTAGTTATATTAGACATCAACACGACACATTAACACATATCCCATTAACAACATATCAAACTAAAGTTTGCAACTTGTCATTTTCTTAAGTTAATATAGTTGCATTGATGTTCTTTACCAATGGTATGTTAAGAAGGGAAACAAATGTTGAACAATTAGATATTTTAGGTTATGCATGCTACATCAGTATCAATAAACATTCTTTTGACTAGTACTTTGATCTTGATTGTTTGGTGAAATATAGTATGCGGTTAGTGAGAAGAACTTAGATTTACATTGTCATTTAACTATCATTATATATATTGTTTTTAAAAATTTGACTTTAAAATTTATCATTTTACTATTAAAACACCTTTGCTATCTCTTTTATATGAAGTAAAAGCAATGACTTGATTGGTATTAGAGTATACAATGTATGGTTAAGAAGTACTTTTCTATTGACATATTGGGCTTGTTTGGTACGAAGCTTTTGGAAGCATTTGAGAGCTTCTAACTTTTAGCTTTTGACAAAACGCTCCAGTTTAAATAAAAAGTTTCGTTTTGCAGTACGAGCGTTTAGCTTTTAATTTAAACAAAACGCTCAAATTCTAAAAGCTACTACATGTAGTGTTTAACAAAACGCTACTGAGCTTTTGAAATTAATTTCCGTAATTACCTTTAAAAATATATTTAATATATTTATTTATTTTAATCAATTGTCTTTTTATATAATTTTATATATTTCAAAAGCTTCCAGCTACTTTTGCCAAACATTCATATAACAAATAAAAGTTACAACTTCCTGCTACCAGCTAACCGCTTTCAGCTAACAACTACTTTTGTCAAACATACTCATTATCATCAATTAGCTACTCTATCCTTGTGGCCCGAAATAAATATGTATGTATATATATATTTTTTGAAATCGTAGATCTCTCTCTCTCTCTCTCTCTCTCTCTCTCTCTCTCTCTCTCTCTCTCTCTCTCTCTCTCTCTCTCTCTCTCTCTCTCTCTCTCTCTCTCTCTCTCTCTCTCTCTCTCTCTCTCTCTCTCTCTCTCTCTCTCTCTCTCTCTCTCTCTCTCTCTCTCTCTCTCTCTCTCTCTCTCTCTCAGCAACATTTGAAACTATAGAACATGAATAAAATAACCTTTGGCACTACATAGAACATGAACAAAATATAAATTGACCAAGTCAATGAGACTTTTTGCTCTAGTTTTATTCATACCAAAAATGTGGAATCGAGTGGAACACACTTCTTGGTTCTTCAATTTAATAAAAACTTCCTTATACCACATTATGTTAACATCTTGAATACGTTTCCACAAGAGGTCATATTATGTATCTTTGTTAAGTCATGGTCCACAACCATCTGTGCATTAGATTTCTTTAACTTTTTATCTATGGGGGAATCTCGAAATTGAAAAGAAAAATGTATTTCTGAATTAATTTTGTAAGTAATTGTTTTTTTTTTTTTTTTTTTTTTAAGTTTCTTAAAGAAGCCTTGGATTTTGTTAGCACTTTGACCAAAGGATTATGTAGAGGTTTAACAAAGGTTTAACAAATCGACTAATAAGAAGCACATGAAAAGTCGATCATGTGAAGAGAGCCTTGGGCTGCTGCCACAGGATTCGTGTAGTCGATTGGTTCACTTTTCAAGTAATTGACTTGAGCTACATTTTAGGAGTTGAAGTTCAGAAAAATCAACCTATAAAGAAGACCATGGATGGGAATAAGTTGAATGCATTTGATTGGTGAGCGAAGAGGAAGGATGTTGAAGGCATATGTAATGTAGAAGAAATTAGGAGAAACAAAGAGGAATAATGGTGTTGTTTCTTTCTTCTAATTTTAACATATCTTTATAGATTTTATTGCTTTATATTTCTTCAAAAGAATCAGAAATTTCTTTTGTTTCATCTATTATTATTTTATTTATTTATTTATTTATTTTCTATCATTGGTATCGCTCGTTTGGGCTTTTTGATTAACTAAAATCTATACTTCGAAAGAAAGTGACAAATTCCATTTTTGTTGTAAAGATTAATTTGATAGATCTAATATTTTATTTGGTTTTGTCCTAACCAAACCAAACACTATAATTTATGAGTTAAACCATGTTTAGTTCAGTTATGTTCAAAGCAGTCTCGTTCCTTTTGGTACTATCTACTATCTAGTTAATATACCAAATTTTACCTAAATGTCATTAACCCTTGCATTTATTCCTTGTATTTTCAAATTCCTTTCTTACTTTTAAGCGCTTACACTTTTCTTTAATAAAAGTTTCTTCCTAAAACGAACAATTTTATTAATAGCTTTCAAAGTACATTTTTCAATTATAAAACCATATTTACAAAAGTCGAGATTTTTCTCTTACTATCGAAAAATATCTAACAAAAAAGTGTACATTTAAAGATGTCAACCTTTTAACGCATATACATATCAAAACTTAGTGGCCAGACAAAAATTTTATACTTTTTGTAAATTACTAAGTACTAACAAAGTAATTCCTGATTTATGCTAAAGACAAAGGATTACAACATTGAAGGAGGATCTCTTCTTTATCTAGTTCTTGCATTTGCATTAAAAGGTTGAAATCTTTAAAATAAATGATGACATGCTCTGCTATGTTTGATTTCCCCATGACAATGTTTATTTGTATTTGTATTTGAGATTTTGTGCTTATTATCAAAACAATCTGCATTGCTTTTTGGGGGATTGAAACAACTTTTTGCGACTAGAATTAGATTTAACATATATATGAAAGAAAATACATTTTTATGTTTTTCATTTATCAAAATGGTAAGTGGCAATTATAGAAATTAATTGGCTGCTTGAAAGGTTAGCAATTGTCCAATTTGTCCCTAAATTCATATGGTGTTTGGATGTTGATTTTGTTTTTTTATATATATATATTTATGTGTTTGATCAAAGAGGAAGTATGTTAATGGAAATGGTTAAGGGTGAGAGAGATTCCACATTATATATTGTGGATATTGTACAACTTAGTAGTGGTATGCATCCTTTACATATAAAAAAAACATGTTGCTAATGCTATCAACCACATCTCAATACTTGTTTTAAACATTCCTTCTATCTTCTTTCAACTAATATCTACCAATCTACACCTCATATTTCCCCTTCCTTTGTTAGTTGTTACTTGAACTACCTTCATTCCCTGAAAACACAAGTCATACATAAAACATAACCTGAGTTATAAAGATTATACACATAACATGAATTACAATAAATACCATGGTTTTCTTGCAAAAGTTCTAGCTTGATAGATATTCAATTGCAATTCGCAAAGGAATATGAAACCTAATTGATTTGTTACTTCAGGAAGTGGTGATGAATGTTAGTCAAAAAAGAACTATCTTAAGGATGAGGGATTAAGCAGTAATCTTTAAGTAGAAAAGAAAAAATTTTAAGATATAAAACTTAAAAACAATATTCAGGTTCAGATATGCACCTGATTCATACTAGATCAATTGTATGCATCATGCCCCTATGCTTCTCCAAAATCTCCCTCATAGCTTCAGTATATGCAACCTCTTCTTTATCTTCAGAACCATCATCTTCACTGTTCATAAGAATATCATTTTCACTCTCGAGATCTTTCATCTCCATTACCACAACAAATACCCCCTTCATCACATACCCTGAAACTGGCAACTTCAAAACCGGAATGTAACACTGATTCACTCTAGCAGGAACCTCTACACGTTTCATCACAGTTTCCAAAGTTGAATGTAACCATTCATTCACCTCATTGAGTTTTTCCCCACTAAGAGAAAACTCCCCTCTTCTCCTTGAATCAGTAATGGAAACCTTTTCCAATGTTGGTAGACTCTTGATGAAGAACAACGACATCTTATGCCTCACCACCACATCCTCCAGACACTGACATGAAATGCGAAATTTCTGCCTAGATAGATCACATGTTAACTCGATGTCTGCTTCATCATCCTCGTTTCCATTAAGATGGAATCCACCCTGATCAGAAATTGAATTCGGTCATAGAAACATAAACGATTCGATTCTATTCCCAAACTTTACCTTCCACTTGAACAAACAACGATTATCATCAATACCTTTGTCACTGGAAGTCGGAAGTTCGACAAATAAGGACTTCACTGCTGTAAAGTTGCTTAAAAACGTAGAGACAGATAGAAAGTACTTATCGATAATGAAAGAAGCGATAGGCGGAAGCGGCATGCTTGGGGATACATCACCGACGGTGTTCTTATCGGGAATGGGAGGGTTTATGAGTGGAGCAGTGAAGGAAATGGTATCGACTTGAAGTACAATCGAGGAGAAGCGTCTTGAAACGAGATAACAAAAGCAAAGGGTTTTCAGATCGATTAATCTGTTTAATATTTGGAGGAGGATTTCGTCTGGTAAGGTGGAGATAGAAGAAGAATCCGCTTCAACTCCATCTCGGGGTTTCTTGAGGTTCCTCATTTTACAGAGAGAAAATAGAAGATGTGCTCATCGGACATTGTAACCCTAATCATTCTCCTGTTAACTTTTTTTTTTTTTCCTACGAGAATGACTTAAAAAAAGGTAATCAAATTTAAAAGAAAGACTACTGGTGTTATTTGTTTATTTTTTTCTACATGTAACGTTATCGTTCAAATTGTTAAATCTTATTATTATTATTATTATTTTTTTTAATTTATTTTATTAAATTTTACATAATATTTTAATATAATAATTATAATAAACGTAATAATAAATAAATATCAATTTTATTAATGGATTTACCTTTTAATTTCAAATTTTCTAAATTAAAATTTATTAATTTCTTTTGTTTATTTATTTAAATTATTTGTTTAAATTTAAAATATAAAAAACATTTCAATTTTAATAATTCATTATTTTTCTTATTTTCTTATAAATTTAAAGTTCTCAAATATTTAGACTTTTATATCTAACTTTTTTTTCAAAAAAAAAAAAATTAACTCATATAAAAAATATCATTGAAACAAATTTAATATAATAAATATCATTTAATCAAATTTTAAAAAAAAATATAATTTAACCAGTTATGCCATGTAAAATTTTGTGGTGACCTGTTATCTAATTGACTCCTTCATCCTTGACCTCTCGACTTTGACGCTTCATCACAAACCACCGATGTAACCTAATCACACCACCTACCATCTCCCACTTCGACCATTACACCGTTTTTGACTCCTGTCACCACTGACCACACCATCACGACTTCAAAAAGGAAGCAACAAGTGGTCCCACGATCTTACGATTTCAAAAATGAAGGAGCAAACAGTCTCACAATCCCTTGATTTTGATTTCAGGTAAGTAAATTTGATCCTTTGATTTCAAATCAGTAAATTTGCATTTTTTTTTTCAAAATCAGTATCAATTCCAGTGGTTCTATTTATCAGGTGTTCAGGTGGTGATGGTGAAAGTGAAGGTGATCGGTCGGTGTTGATATATGTAGCCATCAAATCCTTCTTCAGCTCAAACTTATCGATACCATCAAAAAGGCGGAAAGCATTAAGGTTTGAATGACATTTCACTAACTTTAATAATATGTTATATTTGCCTTCTGATTTTGGTAGTCATCTGGCAAGAATGGCAAATGTGCTGGAACCAGAGTGGGTGGCTTTTTGATGAGAAAAACCAGCGAAGATGTTGGGATTCCTTTAACCTACGTATCTGCAAATTACTTTGACGATTACATGGTTGGTGGGTTGTGCTAACCTAGTCATATTCTTCCTTCGAAGGAATCTGTCCTCTTGCATGGAGATTACATAGATCAAGGGTATATGTAGAGTGGGTTTGTGTTTGGTTCATATGGGCTGAATTGGGTTTCCATGTAAGTGGTAATGATTCGTTCGACAAGGTGTTTTAAGCTATTGTAAGGTAAAGATGGGTGTGTTTATGGTGGAAGACGGAAGTGATGGCTTTAGGTTCTGATGAAAAAAGTAGTGGCCACTAGTTTAGTCTTGTGGGTGTTTCAATTTCAGAAGGGTTATGAAGTGATTTTTTCTCTTGGTAGGTGATAGCAACGGGTAAATGGGTGCAGTCAAATTCGGTAGATGTGATGAGTAGGGGATAGGGTGATGAGTGTGGCTTGTGGTGTTTGTGAGGTTCAATGTTTAAAGTGGAAGTCTGATGGTGGTTATGGAGGAAAACGAAGGTCCGCTGGTTGGTGTTGGTTGTGAAGAGGATGTTCGGTGAAGGTATAAATACTCTTATTTATTATTGACGAGTGAACAAGAAAAGTTCCAAATAAGCAATAAATAAACCAAGTCATTAGTTTACCTGAGGTAACAGAGAAGGTTTTATGTTGACAAACGTATATTTTAGTGGTATTTTTTGTACAAATTATATACTTCAATGGTATTTTTCGTATTAAAAAAAACAACAATGATATTTCTTGAACATTTTTGAAACTTCGTTACCTTTTTAAGTCATTTTTCACTTTTTTTATATTCGCCGTCAATCCTTACCCATTTCACTCCACTCACATAATTGTAGGAGGTGCATAATAAACGAACTAACAATAATTAACAATAAGGAAATTTATTAAACCAAGCAATTACAAACGATGTACTTGAAGTAATTAATCATATTTTTTTAATTTTTTGTAAAATAACACCTACTTCTAATACCATATTCCAGAGTATTATGGACATTTCGAAGTTAGTGGCGTTTTGTGGTGGCCATGTCTGAAATTTGAGACCCGTCCATTTGGGACCGAGAAAGTGCATTCCAAAGTTTTTTTTTGGATTACGTTCCAGAGATTAATGTTTTGGACCATTGATATTAGGTTTTTGTATTTTTCGTTCCAGAGATTAATGTTTTGGACCATTGATATTAGGTTTTTGTATTTTTCATTGTTGTTGCATAAAATCATAACACTTTTGGAAGCTAAAAAATGAGTTCGTAAATTTTTAGAATACTTGTTTTTAATGGATGGCAATGGGCACAAATCGAGGGCTATATGCATTATATTGCTACAAACTACAAACATTTTGGTGTAGATATAAGTAGCGGTATCAACTTTTGTAGGTTAACAACCTTTCTTACTTTAAAGTCTATATTCCACTAATCAAATATGTCTATTTTTCAATGTCCTAGATCAAACATAGTTATACAGTATATTCACGATAGTGATTACAAGTATTTTCTTAGTTTTTTAGTTGTATGTCTCATAATACAATACAAAATTAGTTTTATAATTAGTTTCTTCTTTATATAAATTTCATTGTTGCCGGTGCTTTTAAACGGATGGATATGTGCATCTAACAGATCTTTAATATCGTGCCCAATCTCAAAAATAGTTCTATACATATGCCTAACAATAAGAAAAAGAAATGAAATAACTAAATGATCATTAGCCATATGAGTTAGCCATAAACTTTGGGTTTGTGGATGGATGATGGGTGCATTTTTATGCAACTATTTCATTGCATTTTAATTCATAATTCTTATATTTAGTTAATTATTTAGGCAATTTCATATTTTATTCGGAATGTCTGGTATTTTATTATTTTTGATTAGTTTTGTAGGTATAATGGAGCTTGGAACATTAGAACTATGGAGGTGAGCTTGGAGCTTGGAGCATTGGAGTATGAAGAAAAGATAGACCAATCATGTCATGGAAGAAAACATGAATACATAACCCTAGTCATTGCATATCATCATAGCAAAAGGACTACGTTTGAAACACAGGTTGTGTCACACCAACACGTCTCATGTTTATCATTTTTATCACATATTTTAGCAACATGACTTGTGGTGAAGCTAGACCGACAACGGAAGACTTATTGGAGTTTTAGCAAAAAGGCATGGTCATGGGAAAAACACATGACCATGCTAAAAACACATGGGTAAAAGGCATGGTCATTCTAAAAATGCATGGTCTTATGGCAAGCAAGTGAGTAGTTAATAAAATAAGGGAAGTCACCATTTTTCAATCAGAGGGACGGTTTCTGGAGCATTTTTGGGTGATTTTAGGAGATTTCTAGGAGCTTTTGAGAAGACCAAATCATTTAAAACATTTTTTTATTTCCATTTGTAAGAATTAAACACTTCCATTTCCATCTTTTTTTTGGTTGATTTGTTCTTAGCCATGTATGGCTAAGAAACCTTAATTTCTAGTTCTTATTCAAAACATGTTGTTTGCTTAACTTGAAGCATATGTCTTGATACTTTATTTATGATTCTATTCTAGGGATTATGTTCTTTTTTAAACTATAATCCTTAAATTTGATTTGTGTTTGATTGACCACTTATATGAATTGAATTATTATGTAGTTAATTAACTTTTAGGGCTCTTAATCGTTCTATAAAGTTAATGATTGGTAACTCACTAAGCGTTAGCTTACAGTTTGTTGATTGTTTTCAGGTACTTCTGGAGATAAGGGCAAGGGTCCAGCTTGATGGTGCAGCATGCACTCTCTAGCATTTTAGTTGGGACACTCTTATGTTTTTGGATAATTTATTTGATATTATGGAGTTTTGAAAAAACAAATGTGGTTAAAATATTATGTCTTTTGAGAATGATTTCGTTATTTAAAAATGAAATTTTTTATTGAAAATTTTGGATGTTACAATAATCATTTCAAAGCTGATATTGCTATGATAGTTCTAATAGAACTAATCCTAGCAACTAGGGCATATGTATCAAAGTAATTGATCCCTTTTGGTGCTTGTAGCCTTTAGCAACTAATATAGCTTTATAGGTAGATTAGATCCGTCTGAATTATACTTTCTCTTGAATATCCATTTGGATCCTATGGGTCTCCTCCCTTTGGGTAGATCAGCTAACTCCCAAGTTCCATTACCCATAATTGAGTCTATTTCATCATTGATGGCTTCCTTCGACGAAGGAGCATCTCTAGACATCAGGGCTTCAGTAAAGGTCTTAGGATCATCATCTAAGGTAATGGCAAAGATAACCTCTTTCTTCACTTTCTTTTACATTCCTTTGACCAAATAAGAATAGAAATCATCTCCAAAATTTTTCTCTATTCTAGCCCTAGTACTTCTCCTTGGTTCCTCCACCATAGGAGAAGGTGGGAGTATATCTCGAGAAGTACTTGTAGGTGTTGTATGATTGGAGTTTTCATCATCCCTAGAAAACTTGTCATTAAAATATTCCACATCTCTGGATTCCACAACAACACCTGATTCAATATCTAATAATCGGTAAGCCTTGATATTGTGAGCATATCCAATTTATTAGCTCGTGCTCCTAATTTGGTTCGCTTAAGACCAAGAGTCTGATAACAAGCAACACACCCCCACACTTTCAAATAGTCTTGGTTAGGCTTTTTACCATTCCACAACTCATAAGGGCATGTAGGAATCACACGACTAGTGATCCTATTATGAACATAGTAAGCAGTCGATAGTGCTTTCCCCTATAGATTATTTGGTTGACCCGATTAGTTCAACATACAACTGACCATATCACAAAGGGTTCGATT